ATAATGCTCCCCCTTAAGCGGAAGCTTAAACTGTGCCACTGAAATTTTTGTTGTGTGTTTCTTGTTCACCACCCTTGTACCACCGTTGACACTCTTCAACGAGACACCTTCTAACCACCACTTGTGGGGAGTACTTTCGATACAAGTGAGTCGGTCCTTCACTTGAACCAAAGGCTTAATTTACCAGATGTTGAAATTAACCCAAAACATTTTGAGAATTCCTAATCAATATTGATCTCAAGAAAGATTATGCGCAGAAACTTTAATGAAAAGAAAAAACGAGAAAGAGAGAATGAATTTTAACTGCGGAATCTTCGCCCACAAACTTTGGAGAACTTCTTTATTCACTTTGCAACTGCAAAAACTGTGAATGCAAGTTATTATAAGATAGGGTTTAGTCCCTCTATTTATAATAAAACAAAACCCAAAATTACCAATTTTGGTCTAAGTCAAAATTCGGTCTCAAGCAACCTGCTTCAACATCTAAACAACTCACTGATCCTTGTTTCTGTCGAGCTACACTACTTCGACACAAGGAATTACAATCTCAATACACCACCTAATTAATTATGTCTAAGCTATCTACATTCATCATAAACCTTATCTTTTTGAACACTTTGACTTGCACTCCTTTCATCATGATATCTGCAATCTGATTCTCAATTCTGCAGTGTTCCAAATTCATCTTCCCTTCTGCTACCTGCTCTTGAAGATAATGGAACCTCATTTCGATGTGCTTGCTTCTTCTATGTGCTATTGGATTCTTTTCCAAATTGATAGATGACATGCTGTCGATCTTCATGGTAATTGCTCCATGACTCGTTGCTGTAATTTCTTCGACCAGGTTCACCATCCATGTTGCTTGACATGCACAAAGAGAAGCATCTATGTATTATGCTTTGCATGACAACAATGCCACTACTAGCTCCTTTCTCAAACTCCAAGCAACTGGTGCCCCATCTAACATAAACACATAGCCAACTGTGGATTTTTTATCCTCATCATCACTACACCAACTTGAGTCGGTGTATCCAACTAACTTGCATTCTTTTCCTTCATCAGCTGCAGGAAATAAAACGCCGTAGTCGAGAGTTCCTTTCTGATACCTTAGTATCCTCTTTATCGCAGCTAGGTGTGATGCCTTTGGCTTCTACATGAATATACTTACCATACACACACTATATGCTAAGTCGGGCCTTGTGTGACAAAGGTATCGAAGTGACCCAATAAGTCTTCTATATTGGGTTGGGTCGACATCATCTTCATCTGAATCTTTTGAAAGTTGCATTCTGAGCTCAGCTAGAGTCAAAGTTGGGTTGCAATCTTGCATCTCAAGTCTCTTGAGTATTTCACCTGCATATCATCTTTGGTGCATCATCAAACCTCTACCACTCTTGTAGAGTTTGATGCCAAGGAAATATGAGAGATTTCCTAAGTATGACATTTCAAACTCCTCACTTAGGTCATGTTTGAAATCTTCGCTCTCCTTCTTGCAACTTCATATTATCAACAGGTCATCGACATAGACACATGGTATAAACAATTCATTATTGCTTCTCCTTACATATACTCCATGCTCAGTTGGGCACTTCACGAATTTCTTCTCCCTTAGAAAACTGTCGATCTTCTTATTCCAAGCTCTTGGAGGTTGCTTAAGTCCATACAAGGTTTATGCAGCCTGGACACCTTTCTTTCTTCACCTTGTTACATAAACTCAACTGGCTGTGCAACATAAACTTCTTCGTCTAAGGGGTCATTCAGGAAGGCATATTTCACATCCATTTTACATGTGTGCCAATTGTTCATGTTTGCTAGACCAAGAGCCAACCTAATTGTTTTGATCCTAGCAACAGATGCAAAAACTTCGTTGAAGTTGATTCCTTCCTTCTGTAGAAATCCTTTTGCTACAAGTCTTTCCTTGTGTCAAGTTGCTTCTCCTTTAGGATTCACCTTTACCATGTAAACCCATTTCACATTAATTGCTTTCTTGCCTTGAGGAAATTCGACAAGTGACCAAGTGTTGTTAACTTTGATGGACACTAACTCCTCATTCATTGCTTTCACCCACTTTGAATGTTTCAATGCCTTAGCTGCATTGACTGGTTCGACATCTGGTAGAAAGCACAGCGTACCAGCTCACCTTCTTCATCGACCACATCATCTTATGTAATCACACATTCTTGCAACCTTGTAGACATGTGTCTTGTTCGTCGAGGTCTTCTTCAGCCTGCTTCACCTCTGACTTCTTCTTTTCGAACTTCTCTTTCGACTTCACTAGCTGGTTCTTCACAGAAGATTCTCACTGAATCCTTCTTGAAATTCTTATTCCAATCTCATTCCTTAATCTCATCTATGATCACGTCCATGTTGATCACAACTTGCTTGTTCAATGGGTCGAACAACTTATATCCTCCATTCGAATGATATTCTATCAGGATCATTTGAATCGACTTGTCATCAAGTTTTCTTCTCAACTGATCTAGCACATGTTTATGTGCTATAGATTCAAACACCTTCAAATGACTTAGGCTCGGCTTGACACCAGACTAACATTCTTCTGGTGTGATTCCTTCTAGCTTCTTCGTCGGACATCTATTCAAGATGTACGTTACTGTCGACACAGCTTCTCCCCATAATTCTTTGGGTAGATGCTTTACTTTCAACATACTTCTCACCATATTCATGATGGTTATATTCTTTCTTTCTGTAGTTCCATTTTGCTATGGAGTGTAGGGTGGCACCACCTCATGCGTAATCGTTTCTTTCTTACATAATGCATCAAAATCTTTTGACACATACTCTCCACCATCACCAGTCCTTAGAATCTTTAGCTTTCGACCATAGATTTAAATTTAGCAAATACCTCGATCATTTCACTTTTCTTCTTGATCAGGTAAGTCCATAGTTTTCGACTGAAATCATTTACAAATGTGACAAAGTATCTGTTACCTCCAATCGAATCCACCTGGATATGATCACATACATCAGAGAATATGAGTTCGAGAATTTCCTTCGACTTGCTTCTTACATCCTTGTTGAAGCTATTCTTGTGTTGTTTCTCCTGGACACATTCTTCACACACTTCGCTTGGAATGTCGGTTTCTGGTAATCATGAAACCATATTTCTTCTTTTCAAATCTTTGATGTCTTTGAAATTGAGACGACCAAGTCGATAATGCCATATCTATTCATCTCTGCTGGCTGCAGTTGCAAGGTACTTATGCTCCATCACATTAAGTTCAATCTTAAAGGTTTTATTCTGAGACATAGGAGCCTTCAAGATTAACCTTCTTCCTGAGTCGAGAATTCTCATCATCTTGTCTTCAATCGATACCTTGTAGTTCTTTTCGAGCAACTTCCATATACTAAACAAATTACTCTTCATGTCTGGAATGTACAACACATTGGAAATTACTAACCTCTTGCCATCTTTTCTCATAATCAGAACATCACCAATACCTTCAGCTGCTAGAGTATTGTCATTTGTAAATTTTACCATATTCTTCATTGTGGACTTCATGTTGATAAACCAATCTTTCCTACCAATCATGTCTGATGAGCATACTGAGTCCAAGTACCATTGATCATGAAATCTTTCTTCATCTCTTGTTGTGACCATCAACAACATCTCCCTTTCTTCATGTTTTACCAGCTTTGCATCATTTTCTTGATTATTCTTCTTTTCTCGACACTCACTAAAATAGTGACCATACTTCTGACAATTGTAACACTGAATGTGACTTTTGTTAGGTTTTCGACCACCACCTATTTCTCTATCTGCAACACCACCTCTTGGGTTGCCTTGGGTCTAGGGTTTTCTCTGATTCGACCAGTTTCCTTCCTGCTGATTTCAACCAGTCAAATTGTTGTACCCTCCTCTGCCTTTGTTGTCATTCCAACTTCCTTTGCCTTTCTTTACTTTTTCTGACTGCGCCTGTAAAGACATATCACTATTCGACTTTCCTGCAGTTCTTTTAGCTATCATTTGTTCATGAGACTCAAGCGTCCCTTGAAGCTCTTCCTTCGTCAATACTGACAAGTCTTTCGACTATTCTATGGCTACTACCACGTGGTCGAACTTTGAAGCCAATGACCTCAAGATCTTTGAGGCAACTGATCTTGATGTTAACACTTCTCCACATACCTTGATGCAATTCATACGTCCTTTTGTGAGCTTGTAACCTCAGCTCTTTCACCTTCTCTACACCTCCAAACGATTTCTCCAAGATTTCTCATGCTTCTTTCGCTGATTCTATATCACTAACTTTCTCAAAGTTATCTGAATCAACATATTGATGAATTATAAAGAGAGCAACATTTTCTTGATCCGTCGCATTTTCTTGCACCAATTCTCATAATTATTGTTGGAAAAATTGTGGGACTTTTTCTTGCTAAAACAACACATTTGTATGAGACACACCACATACTCATTAAAAACTTTAAGGGGATAGATGTGTGAGGTTTTCCACCTATAAATATTCAAGTCTCCACATTCCTATCCAATGTGAAACTATTATTCACACTATTTACACTTTTTAATACTTAACAAAAATAATTTGCTTCCTACAATCTTGTTGCTCAAATTGATAGAAGAGATTTTATAAGTAAATATATAAAGGAAACACTTTTGATGGGGTCACAAAAGACGACAGTATCCCTCTAATTAAGCAGTGTACTATTCCCAAAAAACATTAATTAACGCAGAAAACTATTATTTTTGGACCAGCGTAACAAATATATGTCACTGTATGATTTTCCCTTCACACCCCTCCCACCATTCAATTCAAATAGCAAAGAACGGTAGCTGCAATATCCATCCAAACTTCAGATTCCATCACCATTCAATTCAAATAACAAAGAACGGTAGCTGCAATATCCATCCAAACTTCAGATTCCATCACCATTCACCTCTCAAGTCACAATGAAATTCACTTCACATTCCAATGTTGTTATCATAAAATAAATTAACAAAGAAGGAGAATATTGCAAAATTTTCAACAATGAATTGGATTACCATGAGAACTTACTTGGACAGCAATGCAACTTTAAAAGTCCTTGGTAAACTTCTTCTTGGTCAACTAGTTTCTTCCGCAGTTGCACTCATGAGCATCACTGCTTCTCTCATTGCCAAATTTGGTATTCTTAATTTGTTATTTTTTCTGGTTTTTAATTATGAGTTATATGTATTTTTAATCTTTCATATGGTTTTATATAGGTGTTGATACACCTTTAACTCAGAGCCTTTTTACATATGGATCTTTAGCTTTGGTTTATGGTAGCATATTGCTTTATAGGCATCAAAAACCTCTGGTATGTATTTTTCATTTCTTATTTAATTTATTTCCATGAAAGACAGACAGATACAGATACAGTGAGACACTAGACACTACACTGATACGTCAAAACCAATTATAATATCGTGTAAGTAGCGTGTCTGTGTTGCATATTAACATGTGTCAAACACTTGATACTTTTTGTTGAGAGGTTGGTGCTTTGCGCAATGCATGTGTCCTTATATGTTTTTTTTCAGGTTTCTTGGTATTGGTATTTATTATTAGGTTTTGCTGATGCTCAAGGGTGTTACTTGGGTAAGTACTAAGTAGTATTGTTCCATCTATGAATCATTTCTTGTATTTAAGATGAATTTTGAGTTATGATTTTTTATGCAGTTATCAAAGCATATCAGTACAGTTCAATTACAAGTGTAACATTACTATCCTGTTGGACAGTGCCTTGGGTGATATTACTGACATGGGTCGTCCTTGGCACAAGATATTCACTATGGCAGTTATTTGGTGGAACGTTGTGTGTGCTTGGTCTCTCTTTAGTCTTACTTTCTGACACATGGGATGATGGTGATGGAGGTTAATTAGTCACATTCATTTATTCAACTTCTTTTGTTAGAAAATTTCAATCAATCAATTAAGTTGATTCCAAATTCAAAATTTTCAGGTGGATCAAAAATTATCTTGGGTGATGTTCTTGTTATTGTAGGGACAGTTTTCTATGCAATAAGCAATGTTGGTGAGGTATACGTGTTTGTCTGTCTATCTGCGTGACTGTCTGCACACTAGTAAGTATAGAAATCGCTCAAGTAATCTAACTTGATATTCATGATTTTATAAAATGCAGGAGTTTTGTGTTAAGAAAAAAGATCGTGTTGAAGTAGTTGCAATGCTTGGTGTTTATGGATTCCTAGTTACCGCCGTTGAAGTGTATCCTTCTTAATACTACAAATTTAAATTGCTTTTTTGTGTTATAATTTGGTTTAGTTTCTTAACTTCATTATTTAACAGATCTGTCTTAGAGTTGAAGACTCTGGAATCAATCAAATGGTCTACAGATATTGTAAGTGGTCAACTCTCATATCATTTTAGGTATTGTACAAAACACTGAAAATTCATATTTGTTCATAATTGAATGTTTATATACTATATATCTAAATTCCTTAACAGGTACTTGCTTTTGCTAGCTATGGTGTATCAAGCTTCATGTTTTACTCACTCGCTCCCTTTGTTCTTAAGGTTAGTTTCCTTCTCATGAACTTGTTTGTGACATAGGGTCGATCTTTGAGGCTTGAGGATGTCTCAAATTTTTTACAGTTAAATTGTGGCTAAATAGGGTCTCATAATATATTTGTCAGGTTAAACTAAACTATGACTAATTAGAGCCCTAGTTGTTTTGTCACGATTGAATAGTAGGTTATCTACCCAGAGTCTTCGAAAACTTAAGATGGATGTCTCTGATGTGACAACGTGGAAATTTTGTTTTGAATATTACAGCTGAGTGTAATTTTGTCCCATGCAGTTGAGTGGATCAACAATGTTTAATCTTTCTCTTCTAACAGCTAATATGTGGGCAGTGGTTTTCAGAGTTTTCTTTTATCACCAGAAGGTATTAGTAGTATTTTCCAAAATTTTAAGCTATTACATGATTGAAGAGATTTCACTAAATTTGATTTGATGTTATATTATTTACAGGTGGATTGGTTATACTTTCTCTCTTTTGCAGTTCTTGTTATTGGTCTAACCATTTATTCTACAACGTATGTATTATTTATTTGTTTATTTATAACTGTAACTATAATTAGTTCATTGTTCTTAATTGTTAGAGAAATCACATGTTACTAATTACTATTGGGGTGTTTTGTTTATGTTTATCAGAGAGAAAAAATCAGTTCCTGCACCAGCTACTATTATTGTGGAAGATGAGAATCTGAACACAGAATACCAAATACTTAATGGTGAAAATGAAAGTGAAAGCATACCAACTTGATCAAACCAATGATTCTTTTTGTTTCATAAGGGAAATCTTATTCTGCCTTGAACTAGATACTATTATGTTTGTTTTTCTACTTGATTAGAAAATAAGTTGGGCCAAAATTTTTTTTTTTTAAAACTTTAAGATAAAAAGTTATATATTTAAGTTAGGGGATTTCTTCACGCACTTTATATATTATTAGGATATCACATAACAATATTAAAATGTTTTTGAATTTTGGAAATGTATCTTCGGATGCACCGTAAATACACTTACTTTAGGCCAATTGTAAGTCATATCTTAGGAGTGTGGATTTTTTAGATCCGGAGATGCATCTCCATAACTTGTTCGTATATGCATATCTGTACCATACTGAAGCAGAAATAATAGTAGAAAAGCATAAAGTTGTATTTGACAAAATAAAATTATCATTCATGACATAAAGTCAGTGTTACATAGGTGATGTTAACATAAAATCAAATAATACATTTTAATGTCCAGGTGCATGCTTCAACATCTTCATAATATCTTTGACCGATCTTGAAATCGTTGTTTTCAACTTGATCAAAACTTTTGTTTTGAAACAGAAAAATGTATTTCACATAACTCTTACATCTGCATCCGTCTTGAGCTTAAATTTGTTGTGAATTGATGTCTTTAAGAACAAAACAAAATTAGAGAAAGAGTGAGTTTCTTGAACAAACACAAGAAACTCTATTAGGTTTTACGAAAGAGAGAGAGAGAAGAAGGAATAAGAAGAATCATAATTGGTTAAAACTGCTTTACTATTCATTTACTCAATAAGGATTCAAAGATTACTAGTGAATAATAACAATTAACCTCTTTAAAAAATCTGAGAGAACTAATTTATTTATAGACTACTAAGCTAACTTAGGCTACAAGCTAACTTAACAACTGGACTTACAAGAAGGCCCAATTCGACATGCTAACAATCCTATCATACATGATCAACATGTGAACAAACTTTGACTACATGCTAAACCTTTTTCGAACCATGAAACTATCTCTGTCGAGACTAGAGTTTGATCCAAATACCACAAATCTCCACCTTGAAACAACCTCTACAGTAACAAAGAAACAAACAAGCTTTCATCATGCAACTTTATCAACTACATACAGTGGAAAAACTTTCTACTTGACAATGTCTTGGTGAACATATCAGCAACATTATCACCAGTCGAAACCTTCAGCATTTGAACTTTTCCACGCTCGATTATCTCTTTGACGAAGTGCAACCTCACATCGATGTGCTTGATTCGCTCATAATAGGTTGAATTCTTTGACATGTATATTGCACTTTGACTGTCACATTTAAGAGTGATAACTCGGTCTTGAAGTTTCAATTTATTAGCAAAACCTTCAAGTCACAATGCTTATTTCACAGCTTCAGTGAGGGCGATATCTTCCGCTTAAGTGATTGATAAGGCAAGAACCATATGATGTGTTGCTTTATAACTAATTGATGTACCAAACATAGTGAACACATATGCATAAATAGATTTTCTAGAATCCATACAACTTGTATAATCAGAGTCGACAAATTCTTCGATTTTGACTTTGCTATCATCAGCACAGGCTCCATAATAAATCAAGACTCTGCTCAGAGACACTCTATATGCTATGTCTGGCCTCATACCAACTATAACATACATAAAATAACGTATTATACTAGCATATGGAATGTTATTCATATAATATCTTTCGACTTAAGTACTAGGACTTTGATTCGTACTTGGCTTATACTGAGGATTAGCCAGTGTTAGAATAGGCTTTGAATTTGACATATCAAACGTGTCAAGAATATTCTTCAAGTATGTCTCTTGATATAAGCATAATCTCGATTGCTTTCTATCCCTCTAGATGTCAATCCCAAGAGTTCTAGAGGCAGCTCAAAAATCCTTTATGTTGATCTCCTTATCGAGTTCAAACTCCAACTTCATAACATATTTGACACTTTTGCTTGCTATGGGGATGCCATCCATATAAAGCAACAAAATAACAAGTAAATTTCCAGGTCAAAATTTGAAGTAAACACAATGGTTGAACTTACTTCTAGTGAAACCAATGTGTGTCGTGAACTTATCGAATATCTTATTCCATTGTTGAGGAGATTGTTTCATGCCATTTAAAGACCTATTCGGCTTGCACACATAATCTTCCTTTCCCTTTTTTGCATACCCTCTAGTTTGCCTCATAAGGATTATTTTATCTAAATCACCATACAGGAAGATTCTCTTCACATCCATATGTTCAAGTTCTAGGTCAAACTTCGCCACTATGACCAAAAATATTCGAATAGATCTATGTTTTACCACAGGTGAGAACACATCATTGAAGTCGACACCTTCTTTTTGAGTGAAACCCCTAGCAACCAACCTTACCTCAAATCATTTCGACGTCACTCCTTTGATTCCTTCCTTAACCTATAAAGTCTACTTACAATTGACTAACCTAGCTCCTGCAGGTTTCTCGATTAGCTCCCAAGTGTTATTATCATGAAGAGATTTCATCTCATCATCCATGGCTTTCAGTCATTCAAATTCTTTCGAATCCTCACAACTTCCTTTTAACCTTTAGGCTCTTCATCAAGTACCTCACTTGTAAAAATTAAGTCGAATGCTATGAGATTTGCATAACCAAGTCTTTGAGGTGGCTTTATGACACTTGTCGACCTGCGTCTTGCCAACAGGTAATCATTATCAGTCTCTTCATCTTCATCAGCAACTTGTGCTTTTTCTTTGACTTCATGTGGGTTATGAAATTCAGCATCGCTATGTTCCACCTCAAAATAAATCTCTTTCTGTTCTAGCTCTTCTTAGGAGATATTGGTATTTCGACCAACGTCATCAGTTTTCTTGAACTCCATTTCAGCTTCAATGAAAACTACATATCATTTTATGATACACCTCTTGTGACCTGACTCTAGGAACCACAACCTATAAGCTTTGACTCCTTCAAGGTATCCAAGAAACATACATCTCAGAGCTCTAGGTTGTCCTTGTCTTGCCTAATGTGAGCATAGGCTAAGAAACCAAATACTCTAAGTATGTTGGGATTTGGCAGATGTCCTGACTAGACTTTTTCAGGTGTCTTCATTGCCAAAGTTGTCGAAGGACACGAATTTATCAAGTATGCTGCAATTACAACAACTTCTGCCTAAAACATCTTATTCAATCATGCACTTACCAACATACACCTCACCCTTTCCAGAATGGTTCGATTAAACCTTTCAGGCAAACCATTTTGTTGGGGAGTACCTACGGTAGTTTTGTGCCTTGCAATACTAGACACATCATAATAGGTGTCGAAAGCCTCATTACAAAACTCAAGACCATTGTCGGTCATCAATCTCTTTACCTTCCTGCCAATTTGGTTTTTGACCAAGGTCTTCCAACTTTTGAAATTTTCAAAATTTTCATCCTTAAACTTCTGCATGAACGCCCATAATTTTCTAGAATAATCATCAACTATGGATAAGAAATACTTTGCACCTGAGAGTGAAGAATTCCTTGCAAGCCCCTATAGATCAGCATGAATGTAATCAAGAGATCCATGTGTTCTTTGTTTATTTTGTTAAACTTCTGTTGGATAGAAAGTGGTTAAGTGTCGGGTTTTTGTTATCGTCTCCACAGGGAATATGAGATATTGCCGCAGTTCGACAGTTATCGAGTTCTTAACTTTTTAGTAACGAAAGGGGTTTGGTTTTTAGTAACGGTATCTTTGCATAAAAAGTACTGAATCACGGTAAAAGATTGATTTTACGATTTAATAAAGATTTCCAAAGTTAGGGTTCGGTAATCACTTTGCTTGTATATGTCCGATCAACAATAAGCATAAACTTCTTTAGATGACAAACACATTCACAACATCCTCCCAATGTGATTATCTCTAACTCACATTCTAACTTTTCCCATTTTGATCCATTGTTGATTTCTCACACAATCTATCAAAATGACAATATTTAGGTTTAACATTTTTCGTGAACAACCACATTCGAAGCTATCTCTAGCTTAAGAAAATAGAAGGATGAAAACCTAGGTCAAGAGTTGGAAAATATCTTTCAATCATAAACCAACACAAAAAGTTAAAGATAAATCAAGGTTTTCACCATATATTCATCATCCAAGAGTTTACAAATGAAGATCATCCATATACTTACAAAGCTTAATGATCACCTACATCTAACCTTGACAAAATGAAGAACTTAGCTACTCATTTTCATGGTAGCTTGCAAAAGAAGATTCGGAAGAAGGTTGATGAACATCCGAGTCAAAGAATCCAACTTGGATGAGAATCCACCTTCTTTTTGTGGATTAATGTTTGGAAATGAAGAAAATAAGAGGTAGAGTGTTTCTAGGTCACAAAATCTCTTATGCAGCAAAACAAAGTAAAAAAATGATAAATTGTTCAAAAAGTACAAAGGCTATATATAGAAAAAGTTGTTGTCCTGTCACGCTCGCGACTTCATTCGCCTAGCGAGCTAACAGCGAATGTTCACTACAGCTTAGCTTAGCGAACATGCTAGCGAGGGCTGAGGAAAAGATTTTGGAATGCTTCGCTACTTGCTCGCTAGGTGCTCGCGTAGCGAGTTCTTCGCCACCTGCCTCGCTGCCAGCGAATAATGCATTTTTGATTCTGCCCAAGTCTGGGAGTGTTCGCTAGCAGCTCGCTGGATGCTCACCTAGCGAACAACTCGCTGCAACACTCGCCAGATGTTCGCCTAGCGAACATGCTTTTGCTCTTGAACTTTCTTGATTCCTTTGTCAACTTTCTTGTGTCTTCAATTTTCGCTCATTCATGCTCAAATACTGCACAATAACACGCAAATTAAAAGGAACAAGAGCATTTCACGACATATCGCATATCAACAAAAGCAAGGCGGTTTTGAACCAAAATTGCACAAAAAGAAGCGAAAGATGCCCACATTTGATAGCTCAAATAAGCACAATTGGGCATCTAACAACTCTCCCCAACTAGAATCTTGCTTGCCCTCA